TGCGTTAAGTCGACAAGAGAAAAGTGGAACTATCAAAGCTATAACTTTACGAGTTGAGTTGTTACCCAGTATTCAAGAAGAGTTACGAGAATTTCAACATGAGGCAATGAAAAAGGATAAGATTAAACAAGAAAGATTGGATGGATTAATATCTGATTTGATGAAAGATGACAAAGAATTCTGGAAATTCCAGAATAGAATTTGGGTACCATGCTATGGTGATATCAAAAATCGTATTTTGGGTGAGGCTCATAAGTCACGTTTTGTAATTCACCCAGGTACAAATAAAATGTATCGGGATTTGAAGCAACACTATTGGTGGCCAGGTATGAAGAAGGATATAGCTAAGCATGTTGAGCAATGCTTAACATGTCTTCAGGTAAAGATTGAACATCAACGCCCTTACGGTAAATTGCAATCTTTAGAAATTCCAGTGTGGAAGTGGGATCACATCACTATGGATTTCATAACCAAATTGCCGAGAACATCAAAAGGTTATGATGCTATATGGGTGATAGTAGATCGGTTATCCAAATCTGCACACTTTTTACCTATGAAAGAATCTTATTCAATGGAGAGATTAGCAAAACTGTTTATTAATGAGATAGTGACACGTCATGGTGTTCTTCTATCAATTGTTTCAGACAGGGATAGTCGATTCACTTCTATGTTTTGGAAAAGTTTCCAWAGGGAGATGGGTTCTCAGATTAAGTTAAGTACAACTTATCACCCTCAGACTGATGGACAAAGTGAACGAACTATCCAAACATTGGAAGATATGATTAGAGTGTGTGTAATTGATTTTGGAGGATCATGGGATAGTTATTTGGCTTTGGTGGAATTTGCATACAACAATAGCTATCATTCAAGTATTCAGGCAACACCTTTTGAGGTTCTATACGGACGCAAATGTCGAACTCCTTTATGTTGGAATGAAATAGGTGAAAAACAGTTAGCTGGGCCTGAGTTAGTTCAGCAAACTGCAGATAAAATTGGAGTAATACGGGAACAAATGAAAGCGGCTCAAGATAGACAAAGAAGTTACGCAGATAAACRTCGGAAGCCGATTGAGTTTCAAGTAGGTGATAGAGTGATGTTGAAGGTATCGCCATGGAAAGGAATAGTACGTTTTGGTAAAAAGGGAAAGTTAAGTCCGAGGTACATTGGACCATTCYCTATCATTAAAAGGGTTGGGGAAGTAGCCTATAAGTTAGAACTTCCTTTAGAGTTGAGTGGGATCCATGACACGTTTCATGTATCGAATTTAAGGAAGTGTCTAGTAAATCCAGGTATGGCAGTGCCGTTACCCGAAACTAAAGTAAACGAAAGATTGTGTTTTGAAGAAACCCCTGAACAAATTACCGACTTCAAAGTAAGAAAGTTGTGAAACAAAGAGGTTGGATTAGTAAAGGTTCAGTGACGTTATCATAAAGGACCAGACGCCACTTCGGAATCAGAATCAGAGATGGGAATGAAGTATCCCTACCTTTTTGCTTAAATGGAATTCCGGGACATAATTCTTTTAAGGAGGGAATGTTGTAATATTCGGTTGCAAGTTTTAATTTGAGATTTTGATATATATATATATATATGTGTGTGTGTGTGTGTGTGTGTGTGTGTGTGTGAGGATTGGTGTGTGGGGAAAGGTTTTATAGCCCATCTTGTAGAAAAAGGCGATTATGACACTTGCTATATATAGCAAGTGCCTTTGAAAAAGAAAAGCTTATTTTTCTTTGGCAGATTTGAGAAGAAAATCGTAGGGAGAAAAGAGTGAAAAGAAGCTACAGATATTTGAAGTCAAAATTTTCAAAATCAAAGGTGAGTGTATACTGCTTTAAAGTATTGGTTATTGCTTCTTTTATTATTAAAATATGCTACTTATGAACTGCATTTCATAAGAATTTGGTCAAGTCCTTAAACCGGACAAGAGGTGTCCGAAGATTTTTCTAAATCGCCCAAGTGTTGTCCGGATATCTTCTTAAACCGCTCAAGTGTTGTCCGGATATCTCCTTAAATCGCCCAAGTGTTGTCCGAATATTTTCTTAAACCGCTCAAGTATTAACCGGATTAAGAGCTAAACCGCTCAAGCCATGTCCGATTATTCTTTTTCTACTCTAAGTAATTGTTCGGATTTCATATCCAGGCAAGGTTGACCGGACTTCAAATCCGGCTAATGTGTTGAAGCTTTTGAGATGAAATGGCGGTGTAACCGCGAGGGAGATGAAATGGCGGTGTAACCGCGAGGAAGATGAAAAGATATGTGATAGATATAGATAAAATATTTGTGATATACAGGTTTGATTCTAAACTGCTAGTTTAGAAAGTATGTTGTTGGTATAAGTCATATACACTCACTAGACCTTTTGGGTCTAATGCTCAGTTGTTGGACTAACCTGTTTTGCATGTCATCATACCTTGTAGGATAGAGGCAAGGGAAAAGTTTAAAATTGATGACTTTTAGTTACTCTTAAATGTATCAAAGGAAGTTCTTGTTAATCTGTATTTTGTAAACGATGTTACAATTTGTGTTATGAGTAATATCAGGTGGATTATCTGTCTAGTGGAAATAGTGGGTTGTTACATAGATCTAGCTTCCACACTGCCATTACCATTCTTCGTTTTCATCTCCATTGCTTCTGCTTCCAATCAACCCTAAAATCCTAGTGGATAAATCTGTGATCCATATCCAGATCCATTGAACAAAAGGGATGATGATGAAGATGGCTCTACACAAGGATGTTGACTGAGCAGAAGAACGACGATGACGATGGTTGAATGTTTCCAAAAAGTGAAGAAACAATGGTTGAATGTTTTCAGAAGAAGGAACGACGATGCATATGGATTTTCTCTTATGTTGAATGGTTAAATGTTTTCAGTGTCTTGCAAGATGGAGAACGAAATGGGATGGGGGATAAAAGAGGAAAAGGGTAAAAAAGGAATAAATGGATTAATAAATGGTTGAGTACAAAGGATATCACTTTTGTAGCTGAATTATTTAGCCCATGATTGGTCGAATAAGCCCATACCGAACAGCTGAATATAGTCGTGCGAATAAGCCATATCCTTTATATAGCTCATTAAGCCCTACCGAACAGCCCCTTGCTAGATAAGCTATAAGCCTCATAAAGCTTTTTTCCAAATAGTCGTTTAATATAAGTAGTAGGTGACATTGCGTAACAATCTTTTTTTTTTTGTTAATGCAATTAAGTTGAGATAAAACATAATCTGTTAATTAACAACTACTGAAATAAAATGTAAAACAATGAATGTATTAAGAGTGTTTAGAAATAAATATTTTTCATTGATGTTATACACTTTTTCAAACCAAAAAGACCACAAATCTTTTATTGAGTTTGATTTTGTTTTTATCAATTTTTGTTCACAAGGTTCATATATATTTCTTATAATTATTATATTTCTAAGACCTTCGAAGTACTTTTGGAATGGTGAAGTCTAATTATGTTAACGAAATAGAATTGCCATACATTTTCTAATTTTTTGAAAAAAATATGTAGAAGTTAAATTTGTAGAAAATGGTTAGTCACAAATGTATACACATGATTATTAGAGAAGTGTATCAAGAGAAGTTGAAAAATTATAACCACATAGAGATGAATAATTGAGAGATTAAAGGAGCAATTATTAGAGAGAAGATAACTAGGTTGGAATAACATAAAATTATCAAAGAAAAACCACTCATAATAAAACATACATCTTTGATTTAGGGACACAAAAGTTTAACAAATTAAACAATTAAAAATTTAAAAATTGTAGGAAAAATTATTATTTAAGGGGAAATTTACTAAAATGGCCATTTTGTAATATAGATTTCACTTTTTAGTCACTTTTCAAGGTCTTTTCCTGAAATGGCCATACTTTACGAAAAGACTACAAGCAGAAGATTTGTCTTTGCGAAAAGTCCTTTTAAAAAAAAAATCAGTTTTTTAGACTTTACGTAGAAAGTGAACTAAAGATTTCATTTAATATTTAAACATTGGAAAATAATACAAGTCTTTCATCAGTATTGGTAGGCATATTACATATAAGTTATATACTAAAAGTAAAGAAAGGAAAATAAAGATTTACAAGACAGAAAGAACATCTAAACTAAGTCACTGAAGTTGATATACCTAGGTACATCTTTTTCGAGCTTCTTGCATCTCAGCACCTTCTTTCTGATCTTGCGTTCCATCACCTCTCCATAGATGTCAGTATCTAGCCAAGTCCTTAGATACTTTAGATGATCTATCGAACAGAGGTGGAACTTGGATACTCGCTGGAAACTGTATTCGCCATCATAGTCGATGAATGTGAGTCCAAACTCAGGCTTCATGTGCACAATGTTAGGTATGTAGGGACCCTTCGCTGGTACTGTCAGATTCAGCTTTGAGAGATCCGACTTCTTTCGATCCTTCAGGATTTCATCCAAGGAGAATTTAGTTTTGTGTTCGTTCCTATGGGATGTTCCATCTTCAGGATCTGAAAGGTGTTTTCTTCTTAAGAGAGGCTTCTCTAGCAAAGGAGGGACATCAATAATCTTAGACACCTTCTTAAATAACTCGTTCAGGATGTCTTCAATTATCGACTTATGCTTTGACTTTAGCGTTGAATAGTCTGTCGAATCTCCAACCATTCATCGAAGCCGTACTGCCCGAGGTAAGAAGGGTACTCAGTGACAACATCTTGGTTCTATCTGAAGATGACAATAGAAATGAGAAGTCCATTATCCTTCTTCCGTCTGCTAATAGTGAAGTTTGAGATCCTGTCGGGACTTATTCTTTTCTTGATCCTTTCATTGTACCACTTCAGGTCATGGTATTTTAGCGTCAACGTCCTTTGATGTTCTCGTCCAGCTTGTGACAACAACTAAGCCTGAGCTTTGACCGGATCCTTTTTCTTCAGCTTCCCTTTGGCCAGAGCTTGGATAGCTAGAGACTTGGCCAACTTTAGACTATCCTTCATCTATTTTAGTTTAATGCACAACTCCTCTTCGCTTTTAGGGCTTCCTCTTATTTAATGTCACTGAGGAAGTCGAACTCACCACAACTGAAGGTATAAAGAGGGATTTTTTACTCTGGTTTGGTAGAGCTGACTCCTTAGCTGAGTCATCCTTTGGTTGTTGAGATCTCCAAATGTTTGAATATCAACTATCCTTTCATCTAGAGGACCATAGGAGATTGTTGGTGCAGTGAGTAGAAGAAAGGAGACTTCAGATTCTTGAGAAAAGGGTACAAACCTGGAGCTTTGTGAAACCTTGGTAAGATCAATCGCCTTGAAGATGATGGAGAGATTGCCTTCTTCAACCACTCCTTTGTCCTTAGAGGTGGAGTAATGGTTATTTGAGGTTCTTTCCCCCTGGGAAGCTAGTTCCCTTAAGGAGACACCCTTCTGAGCCGGTATTGGATGGTGAATTTGTCATCATCGTCGTCGTTGTCTCCAAGATCTTGTCCAACAGTGGTGCAATATTCTTCAATTCCTCCTTCTTCTCTCTCCAAGGTGGTCAGGACAAGGAAACCCCCCCAAGTCTAACCCAACCACCACAATCCTTTATTCCAAACACCCATCTCAACCAACTCTTGGTTCTCCTTCGAGGACCAAGAAGGCCAAAAAGGGAACAACCACGTCTTTGGCTGTGACCTCTCAAAAGGTCTCAGCTATTGAAACAAGCCTTACCCCCGGGGTAATTTCAGTCAGCCTTCCCAGCTCTTCAGTGATATCTGAAATCACTGTCGTACCAGTGGATCCTCACCCAACCGCCTCAGTGACCCAAATCACTGAAGGTGAGAATATCAGTGTCGCTACAGTTGAATACCCACTACCTATAGTCTCAGCCATCTTCTCCTCCCCTCCTTCCTTGCCTCTACATGTGTCTATGAATCACCAGTGACTGTCCTCCCTGATGATGAGACACCCACCGCTGGACCTGAGGTAGCTCCTCTCGAGGCTCCTCAACAAACTGGTGCTTATCCTCTCGAATGCACCATGGAGCCCACCAGCGTTAATCCCTCAGATAACACTGAAGACCCTTCAGGTACTCCATCTTCCTACCCATTTAGTCCCTCTAACCCTGCGCTTCTTAATGCTCACTCTTACTCTTTTTCAGGTCCTTCTGAGGAACCAGCCATGGAACAACATAGGACATGGCTGAGAACATGAAGCTGCTCCTCCCCGCAGTCGAGACTGTCTTCATCAAGATGGACGTGGTCTATAAAGACATGTCTTAAAGGGATAAAGTAGCTGCTGACCTCTCAAATGTCAGGGCTGAAGTTCAAGAGGTCAAGGGCCAGCTTTCAACACTACAAGTGGCAGTTCAAGCCAATGCTAAGGCCATCGCTGCCCTAACGAGTAAGGCCGATGAAGCAAACTCCCAACTTGTCCAACATGCAGAACTGATGCAGCAAGTTTTGGCTGCTCTTCATCGACTAGTGCCAGCGCCTCAACCTTCTTTCACCGCTGATGACCGCACCCAACTTAATGAAGCGCGTGAAGCAACAATTAGCCTAGCTAGCGCTCTGATGCGACTAGAGGAAATGATGGTGCTCCAAATCTAGAACGTCGACCAACTCTCTGGCTATTGGTTAAGAGCTATTGCTAGAGAGGGGGACATAAGGTCTGACGTTGGGCCATCAGATGCTGCTGCCGCCACTAAACCTGCTGCTCCTAAATCTGAAGTTGAAGCTGAGGTTGTTAATGAAATCCCAACATCCTATGAAACTCTTATAGCTGAGGAAATTTATGTCGTCCGAGCTAACGCTGAAGCTCACGACGATGACCTTCCCATCACCTCTGCAGCTGATGCTGCTGATGTGGAAGAAGACGATGAAGAGGATGATGAAGAAGATGGTGAGTCTCCCAATCTTCCTGACTCTGGCAGTGACGTAGACGATGAAAACGACTTCACGATCCAGTACCAGCGACCTACTACTGCCATGAAAGGTGTCGCCCTCAGGGATTATGCATCCCAAGGGGAGCAAAGGGAGAATGAGGGTGTTCAAGAAACACACTAGAGCACCACGTCGAAAGGCAAAGGTGTTGCTGAAGAAGGGAATCTCAAGGTACTTTTCAAACTCCTTGAACTCTTATATGACGAGTCCTCTAGCCAAATCACCATAACATCCATGTACCAACTCTCCATCCTCAACTATCTGCGGTCGGCTGGAGGAATGGGTCCTAGAGAACCCAACCCCCAACGCTTCCACCAACCAGCAGATGACTCAGCTCAGGAAGTCACTCGACCAAACAAGAGTAAGAATTCCTCTTCGTACCTCTAGTTGTGGTGAGTTCGACTTCTTGATCGAAGCTGAAAGACTCGAGACTCTCAAGGCCGAGGAAGAACTTGAACTTCAGAGAAAACAAACTAAGGACAGCTTAAAGCTGGCCAAGTCTCTAGCCCCAAAAGTTCTTTCAAAGAAAAAATCCAAAAAGACGGTGAACATTGTCCAGGTCCAAGCTAGGCTTCTCTCTATTGCAGAGGTTGAACGCGAAAAGAACCTGAAGTGTGTAACACCCCCTTCAAACTCACCTTGCATATAACATAGATTATTATATAAAGAAGTACATGTTTACCCCACATAGGTCCATAATACAATAGCCTATATTACAAAAATGTACAACTGAAAAATTCAAAGTACATGCTCTTGTAATCATAACATCTATTCTCCAAAACAAATCCAAATATGATCTTCATAAAACTAAGCACATTGGGAAATAATTCACATTTTCCCTTTTCATTTACTATCATTATAATCTGCATTTCCTGCAACACATATTTGAAAACATAAAATGAGGGTTAGACCTAGAGGTCTAGTGATATCCCTTTTTCCATGTAGTTGCAGGGTGAAATTCACCAAAACATTATTCAAATAAAATCATTTCACATAATGAAGTATAAATTCATACTCTGTTTATGTCCATCAGACTTCTGATTCCATAGACCAGACTTGGAAAATATTTCAACAAACAAGAGGACCAGAGCTCCGCTGGTTCCTGTACCAGAGCTTCTAGTTAAGCCAACCAGAGCCCCTTACTTAAGTAAAATTCTCAAAAACATTCATAGATCAAACCCATAGATAATAAAATAGCTTTCCCAAAGATAAAAACACATTTTTGAAAAGGATTTTATATGACCACAGCTCTAGTTCCACTAGCCAGAGCTTCTGGCTCAAATTGCAAGACCAACCAGAGCTTTTGGTTCAACCCGCGTAGGTCAACCAGAGCCCCTCTGGTCTGTCTTACTTGTAAGAAAACTTCCAAGTATAAAACCTTTTTGAAAACTCTTTTAAAGTATAATTTTGACATAGAGCTCTTATCTATAGATATAGAGCCTTTGGTTTAACTAAAAGCTTTGCAAAAGACTTGCATAATTTCTCAAATCAACGTCCAGAACCTTCTGGTTCTATTAAGAGGACCAACCAGAGCCTCTCTTGTTCCTCTAAAATCAAACACTTGATCCAAAATAGAGTTTATCCAAAACCATTGGTCATAAACCAAGTTTTCCCCTTCTCAATAACATCAATACTACAATTTCTAATAAGAAGAACATCTCTGAGTCCTCAAATCACAAAGAAGTAATAACTCAAATCTATAGTAATCTTAAAATACATAATAGCAAGAGCTATAATAACCACACACAATTGCCACCCTTATATCCAAAGGTACACCTCTCCTTGATATGCCACCCTTATAGTCGAAGGTACACCTCTCCTTGATATGCCACCCTTATCCCATGGTACACCTCTCCTTGATATGCCACCGTTATTTCCTCATCAAAATCTATGGATTAATTCCAAATGAAGACAGACCAAAGTCACAACCATCTTGATGAAACAACCTCCATAGTTTTATCCAAAAAATCTATAGATTAATCCCAAACGAAGACAGACCGAAGTCACAACCGTCTTGATACGATGTCTTCTAGAGTTTTCAACCAATAATGGTTTCAAAATAGTTTTATCATCAAAACTTTCAAACCCAAGAACAATCTGTTCCTTCAATGATTTCTAGAACATCAAACTTTCTTTAAATCCTCAAAACAATATAATCATTTCCAAAACTGTTTTAAAGAAGCAACCTCTTCTTTATCTTTCCAAAACAGTTTCAAATACTCAAACTTATATCAATAACACTTTTAAACTATCACAAACAGTTTTATCATCTTTTCTTCAAAACCAACATCAAAACCCAGCAGTTTGTATAACAACATATAAAGAGATTTAGTTATCAAAAGCTCACCTTATAAATCACAAATTCTGCAGATTAAATCACACAGAAGATTCTTCAAATAACACAGAATCTTCAAACACTTTTGTGCAAAATTCTTCTCAAGAACACTTCCACCGCCACACACACACCTTTTTCTCTCAAAAGGTTTCTTTTCAAAATAAGATGATAAGATAAGATCTTATCTCTTTTTCTCTCTTTAAATATTCTCACATAGGCGGTGGGGAACTTTTATTATTATAAAATAGTTTGGGCGGTGGTAGTTTTATTATATTTAAAACCACCTTTCTTCCCCATGAAGATATCACATGTTCATATTTTAAAATAATATAACCCATGTATGCTTCACACCATATACGTACACACATAATTCATGTATGCACAGTAACAACTTTTCACATATACGCATACTATTCGTGCACTTAATTTAATATTATGCATGTCATAACGTAATTCACATAATAATCACATATAGGTTACCTCAACCCAGGTTGTCTGAAACCCGGTTATAACAAAGTGGCCGAACGTGACAAGCGCTGGAGCGAAGAATGCCTTAATAAGAAAATCAACCGTCATCTGATTTGAAACGTCAGCATCAGTGGATGGATAAAAGACGGTGGGCTGCTGATATCCATGCTCATCACCAGGGATAATCTTGAGGCGGTCACCGAGTACCCTTCCTACCTTGACGAGTACGACTACAGTGAATGGCTGGAGATCCGCCAAACCATTCAGCACTCAAAATCTCAACATAAGCCAATTATCGAAGACATCATCAGCGAGTTGATCAAGAAGATGTCCAGGTATGTCGTAGTCCCTGAAAAGCCAACTCTGAAGAAAGGTGGAAGAATAAAAAGACCTTAAAGTCCTAATGACGGACCATCCTTGAGGAACGAACATGAAACAAAGTTCTCCTTAGATGAAGTCCTGAAGGATTCGAAAAAACCAGGCATATCAATGTTGAATATCTCACTGCCAGCGAAGGGTCCTTACATACCCAACACTGTGCATGTGAAGCCTAAGTTATGATTAATATTCCTTGACTATGATGGCGAAATCAGATTCCAAAGAATGTATGAGTTACATCTATGCCCGATGGAACATCTCAGATACCTCAGGTTCTGGCTTGATGATGACTTCAAAAGTGAAATTATGGACCGCAAGATTAGAAGGGAGTTTCTACATCAAAAGGAGCTTGGAGAAAACGTATCTAGCTACATTAATCTGAACAACTTAGATTAGTTACTTTCCTTTGTAATTTGTCCATTCACTGTATAACCTTTTGTATTCTATGTCTACTTTCAGTGTTCAACTTATATTTTGTAAGTCTAAGACATGTACTGAACGACTTGTAATATTTCTTTTTGAAATAAATATAAGTATTTCTTGTGCATCACTGAAAAAGATCTCTGAAAAGAGTAATAGGGACACAAGTCTATGAGTTCCAATGTTACTCTTACATTCACTGACAATCTATAAGTCAGTGAACATGCTTTCAGTTTTAGTTTCTCTTCTTTTATTTTTTCTTAAACTTGTAACTTAAGAAAACTTACTAAGTAAAGACTGACTCACTGAAAAAGATCTTAAAACTGTTAAAAGGGACATGTACTTTATATGTAACTTTTCCTTACTGCTATTTGATTAGGCAACTCTCTTTATGTTGCTTTGTTATCATCAAATAAGAGGAGATTTTTGATCCTATCTCTCATTGATTTGATGATAATCCCTTTTACCTTATACAAAGTATTATTGTTTCTGTCTTTTAGTTCCAGCGATCATCATTGAGTCTGTTCAGTGATAGCTAAGAACATGTAATGCAAATCCATCAGCGACAACGATACTTCAAGAAGACAAAACACCAAAGAACCTTCAGTGAAAGTCGAAGAATGAAACTGAAGATTAGAGATTGGCGTATTCATGATCTGAAGTGGCATTCAGTGATTACAACCTGGTCAACATATGTGTGAAGACTGCCCAAGCCTCAATGAATGTTGAAGAGACCTTCAGGGTTATTCCAACATTGAACGATCAAATGAAGTTTGTTGGGCAAGATTGCTTTGTCTTGTCTTTCCACACATAAAGGACAAACCCATACCCTTTCTAAAGTATAGTATGATACATAGCCGATTAGTTGACTCTACTACCCACCAACTCCATGAAAGGATGTCTGCTCATGAATAGGCTTAGATAAGATTAACTTTACCTTATCTTTTCCATATACAATCTTGGAAAATATGTATTGATACTTCTTTATCAATATATATTTTAAATTTGGGAAGTTTCTTGTGTTTGTATTCATCTCCCCCCCTTCTACAAACTGTTTCTAAATATCTTGTAGACCCTAACGGGACCAACATGTGGTATTAGAGAAGTGTTTTCTTTTCTTGTTGTTTAGTTGTTTTTCTGCATTATATTATCTCTTTCTCTAGATAATTTTACTGCTTTCAAATGACTTTATAAAACACAAACACACACTTTCATGACAATCGCTCTCTTGCCAAACCTCCCCGATTTATCCGAGACAACTTTAGTCTTTGAAAGAATTGGATGTCCCTATTTCTGGAAGGTGTGGGTCCTGAAGTTCCACACTACATGGAAAATGGACCATATGTTCCATACGCTATTTCTCCGGCTGTTCCTAAAACAGCCATAACTCCCGCGATTCCTTCTTTATCAATATATATTTTAAATTTGAAAAGTTTATTGTGTTTGTATTCATCCCCCCCTCTACAAACTGTTTCTAAATATCTTGTAGACCCTAACGGGACCAACAATATCCCACACGGAT